TTAAAGGACAGTGAAACTAAAATTATTCTAAAGTTAAAAGTCATTGTTAGATACAATATTAGTAAATTTAACCTTAATTCACCTACAATCAAATTAACTGCATCTATGAAAATTGTATTCCGACAAAATGTTCTGATTTCAAAATACATTTGTCGTTTTTGAAAAATAGTGCTCTTAGTTACGGGGCAAGTTTTTGTTTTTTTTAACGTCTTAAATAAAACTTATACTGATTTTAGTCAACTTTGTTAAATTTTAACATGAAATTAAATTTACATAGAGATCTTTTACTTTAAACTTTGAATTTAAACACAGTGTCGTATATGACATAAATGTCGTCAGCCCGTAATACAAATTTGTATAACGGGCTGACGAAATGATACGAATATCAAGGTAAAAGTCGAACCAAGACATATAAATAAATGGACGTTTTAACGCATTTTAACGCATAGATCCAAGGGTAGGCGCAATCGTCAGAGCAGAGCAGATTGGCATAGCAAATCATTGTTATGTTGATTACGGCAGAGCAGATTATCCAATTAGCCGTTTTCTAGTGTGTGATCTGCCAAATATTATTTGGCAGATCACACATTATTCAAATATTATTTGGCAGATCACACATTATTCAATAATGGTTTGGCAGATCACACAATATAAAACAGCTGATTGGATACTCTGCTCTGCCGTTATTATAATTACAAAGATCTGCTCTGCCAATCTGCTCTGCCGGTTGCATTATGATCTGCCAAATTATTTAGCAGATCACACATTAAAGTATGGCAGATCACTTTTTTTTTGGAAAAGTATTGCGACAAAAAAAACGTTTATGCTTAAAAATCAAATCAACTATTAGTTCTTTCTATTCGAAGTGCATCGTTTTTCATAAAAATATCTGGCAATCACATTATAACAATTCTATTATATGATTTGCCGAATTATTTAGCAGATCACACATTTGGAAACGGCTGATTGGATAATCTGCTCTGCCGTTATTAACATTCCAATGATCTGCTCTGCTAATCTGCTCTGCTCTGCCGATTGTACCTACCCGTTAAAAAGTAAACGAAAGAATAGGGTAGGTACACATTAGAAAACAACAAATAATATTTGGCAGATCACACATTAAAAAACGGCTGATTGGATAATCTGCTCTGCCGTTATTAATAGAGATGCTACGAATATTCCGCAACTATTCGGCATTTGGTGTATTCGGCAACATCTTTACTATTCAGTATTCGGCCGAATAGTTTGGAATATTCGGCCGAATACCAAATACTGAAAAATGAAAATAATTGCATTAGAAATGGATTAAATTACTAAGTATACCTATAATAATACAATAAACAAGTTAAACAAATAATAAATATATTATATATAAAAGATTCTATTAATCACACATTATTTTTTATTTAAAACTACTTTAATACTTAAAATTTATCAGTGGTAAATTATAATAAATAAAAATAATTTTTTCGGCATTTGTTGATAGCAAACGATTTCGCTTTTTCTCTTAAACTATACCTGCTTCCGAAAATAGCCGTTCACTATATACACTAATACCTGGAGATAATAAGTAAATCTTAGCAAATTCTACTTGTAATTAAATGAGTTGCATTCAGTAAATTCGAATCATTTCTTAACAAATTTTAGTGACATTTATATTATAGATACATTAACTACTGATTTAAACTGAAAACAACGCAATTACCACTAAATACTCTAAACCTTTACCAAACAATGTGATTTCTACTAAATGCTATAAATATATATATATATATATATATATATATATATATATATATATATATATATATATATATATATATATATATATATATATATATATATATATATATATATATATATTCTATAACTATGGAATTAGTTATAAAGAGCAGCCGTGGCGCAGTGGTTAGAGTTCTGGCTCAGAATCCAGAGGTCCGAGGTTCGATGCCAGCTCCAGCCCAACAAACGGCATTGGTACGGAAGGAGGCGTGAACTTCCTATTAAATGCTCACCCGCGGTACATAATAAATACATACAAAAAAAAAAAAAAAAAAAATTACAACTTTTTGTATATGTATCTTACGTAACGGGTTGTAAGAAATACAACCTGCAAGAAACAAAGTTTGATGTAACAAATAGTCCACAAATAACATAACAAAACACACAAATAAAACAAATTCACGTAATTACCTGTTGGGTGACGACGGCATTAACCTTACTAATTCAGTTTGAAAACTGTCCACCCATGAAATTTTCTAAGTGTTACCGAATATTCGGCGGCCGAAAATCACTATGCGCGGCATCTCTGCCAATCTGCTTTGCGGATTGCACCATATAATGCATGGTAAAAATCGCGCCAATAACAATTATTAATAGTGCGCCAAATACTAATTCGTAAACAAAAACAAAAAATCAACATAAAGATTCATGTAAATAAAATTAGGCTCTAGTCTAAAATTTGTCATATTTGAATTTCTTTTAAAAAATGTAAATTTAT